AAATGTTTCTGTTTGTCCAAAAAAAAAAAAAAAAAAAAAAAAGTATTTTTTAAAAAGAAGCATTTAAAAATACAATCGTTTATGCACCAAAGTTGGCTATGAAAAGAGTTAAATTGCTTCCTCACTTTATTAAGCAAGAAATTACGGATTTTTTTAAACCTACAGGAATAGAAAACTTGTGTACCTTGTTTGTCTTATATGGAGACAAAAAAAAGTTGCATATAGAGAATGGGACATTGCTTGTAAATAGTTTTGCAGATTTGTAATATATTTTTATATCACAAAATGTATTGTAGATGTTTTTTCCTAGAGGCATGGAAGTTAAAATGTATATATTATGGTAGAAATAATATTGAAGGATATTGTATGTCGTTAGCGCTGCCAGAATTTGTTTAAAGCAAGCACCTTTCTTAACAATAATAAGTCTTTTGGACTTCTAAGAGACTGTATACTACTGTTGTAAGAACAAAACACATGAAATATCCTTTCAGAAATCTTTGAAGGATGCATAATATCCATAGAAAGTTTACAGCACTCACTGCTGAACTTGGATATGAAATCAATCTTTTTCCTTGCTTGTTGGAAGGAACAAATGTAAAATAAATGAATTAATAAGGTGGCTATATGCAGTCAAACTGCATGATTAACCCTCCCTGTTTAGGAGGATTTTTTTTTAATTTTATTTTATTGTTATTTTTTGCATTACTACAGTGACTTTTTTTACACTATTTTTTTTAATTAAACAACAAATAAATTAATTAAACTCTAAAGTTTCTGGAGATCGAAGTTGGCTTTTTTTTCCAAATTGTACAAGGAGAGCTGCCTTAATGAAGGTAAAATGCTTGTTTGGTTCCCAGTGGATTTAGAATGTTTTCACAAACATTTAAATTTATTATCGATGTGCAGATTAGAAGCACTGCTGACATGGAATGGTTCTGGAATACTGTAGTTGTTTGACAATGGTATTTCATAAAGGTCTGTGGCAATGTAACTATTTAAAACAGATGCAGTTTGTTTTGTCTTTAATTTTGCTTAAGCACTTCAATTACTGCTTTATCTTCATTAAATGGTCATCTGCAATTGCTTGGGTTCTCTTTTCTTTAAAAAGTATAACATTGCCAAATAGGTGTTTTCAAATATAGTTTGTATTTGCATTTTTTTAAATCTTATTGTTTCATGAATCTCTTGTATGCCATTCATAATTGACAGATGATTGTAGACTTTGCTGGAGTATTTTTTCTAATAAAAGAAAGCAAATGCAACTACTGTTTAAGGTTCTAAATGTCATTTATTGCAACAGGCTTTTTAAAAAGTTGGAGCACAATATGTAAATTATGTATTTTCTGTTCGAATAAAACCAGAATTTTTATATTATTAAAAGTATTTCAAGACCACTTTCCATTACAAAGGACCCCAAAGTGGTGTTTTAAAATAAAAATGGGATAAAAAAAAAAACAGGATAAAAGCCAGGATAAAAACATTTTGTTAAACACAAATATTAGCAGGGATTCTTTCCTAATTGATGGGGAAATGGCAACATGAAAAGGTAAGTGTTCAGAAGTGATATTCGAGATGTCAAGGAATGGCTGTCAAAAATGTGTGATTTATCTGTTTTAGAAAAGGCAATATTCTCTACTTATCAAAAGAGACAGCAATATTTGTTACTATGGCAGAGATTCCATGAAATTTTATAATAGTATCTTGAATTGTTCATATTATAGTAGTGAGTTCATTGGTAAACCAGTGACTATTGGTAAGTATAAAATATAGGGGGGGGGGTTTCCTTTTTCCACCCTCTTAGTTTGTATTAATTTTTTTCATTTTTTTTCTTTGAGATTAATGATTGCTTTGTTAAAAAAAGATTACAGGAAGTCCTTGCTTACTGATGGTAATTGGGCCCAGAAATTCCACCGTTAAGTGACCTGGTACTAAGGCGCGACGACATGTGACCGCACCAACTTATGGCAGCAGTTCCAACAGTCCCAGTTGCTGTCATTAGGCGAATCTTGTGTGGTCGTCCTGCGGTCACGTGATTGCCATTTATGACCTGCCACCTTCTCAATTGACTTTGTTGGAAGTCAGCAGCGAAGGTCGCAAATGGTGATCACATGACCATGAACCACTGCAATTTCATAGTTGTGAGGTGGTTGCCAAGCAACAGAATTGTGATCATGTGACCATGAGGATACTGCGGCAGCCACGACTTCAAGGATGCTGTCATAACTTTGAATGGTCGCTGAATGAGTGAGGACTGCCTGTATATTAAAAATAAAGCATTCAGAAGATACCTGAAACACATCATGTTGGAAATCGGCAAAGATGAAGTTATCCCATAAGAAGGGCCACCATGGAGATGGTCTCCATGTTACTGCTGATGTCAGTGCCAATGTCAGCTGCATTCAGCTCAGTGACAAATGTTAAGTGTATGCCATCTGAGATCTGACATACTTTTGTATCTCATCTCTGATCTTCATGAGACAGTTGGAACTTCTGCCTCAAGGTCCCATGTCTGAATAAACCAAGACCCAGCTTGATAAAGTCACAGCCATGACACTTATTTGGCAATAAGACAACAGATAATGGTACCTTTTTAGCTTACAAAGATGGAACTGGCTGAAAGAAATATGGACTCGAAGTTAGGCCTCTTCAGGTCGCTAATAGCAATTTGTCCAGGAATCCAAATAAAAACACCCTCAACATCTATAAAACTTAAATCTAGTATTCTGTGCCCTGCATTCTGGGCAGACAATAGGCTTTGACCTTTTCCTATATGACATCTTTTCCAGTATTTGAAAAGTGCTATCATGCTGCTGCTTGGTTTTATTTTCTTGAGGCTAAATATTCCTAGTTCCTTCCATCTGTCTTCACACAACCTAAGTTTCTAGTCTCTGATCGCCTTAGTTGTCTTTGGACCAGTTTCACATTTGCTAATTTTTTCATGCCAAAAATGGACACGCTGCTTGAGATAGTGTCTGATCGACAGGCAGTATTTTGGGAACCATAATTTTACATATGCAGGCAAAACCTGTTTGTTTTTTTGTTTTTAAAGATGTATCCTGTTGCTGGCTTCAGTTTAAAATCAATACTCCAGAATCTTGGGGAATGAGCTCATGCCAGCAAACAGGCCCATATGTGTAACATAAAGAGTGAGTGGAAAAAGTTTGAGCAATAACTAAATGCATTTGTGCTTAAGATTTGAGTATTTAACTAAAGTAAGGTGAAGTCTTCTTAGAATCAAGTTCTACTTCTGGAACTATATGAGCATGTTTTCCTGGAAATAATACAGAAGTGGCTTGTCACTGCCTTTTTTCAGGGTTTTTTTTTTTTAATCCTAGTCAAATTGAAAGCCATGGGATTTCCTGGTTGTTTCCCATCCAAATATTCATCTTGAATATTCACCCAAATTCATCCAAATGTTCACCTTGAAACGTTTGCAAGAGAAGAACCAAGCTCGGAGAACCCCAAGGACTCCACTACTCGCCTTGCTTAATTATTTTTCTTTAAGATACGTTAAAGCTGGCTAGGTGTTGCCTTCTGCTATCACAAATTTTAAGTCAACCTCAAATCCTGGTGATTTCATGGACACATGTAGGGTTGTTGTCCTTAACAATACAGAAATAAGTTGAAAGTGATGCTTTCCAAGAATTTTTTTTCAACTTTTTAGTCTACCTTGTAACACAAGGTTTTCCAAGTAGTCTTCCTTCCTGGATTTCACCTGCTTAGGTTTTCAAGGTCAGCCAAGATCGCTTAGATCTACCACCTGCTATAAACGTGAATGTTTCCTTTTTTCTTCTGAAATGCACTCATCTGGCCATTGGGGGATGGTCATGAAGGACAAAACGCCTACTTATCAGAAGGCAAATTGATGAGATTGCTGTCCACCATCCTGCATAGCTTTCCAGGTACTCTTAACCATCTGGACATGCTCCTAAAAGGACCACTGTGCTGTTCCCCACAGCATTTTTGTTTTCTACAAATACTTCTGCATTGTACGCAGAGTGCAGAAACATGAGAGCCAATTTGGTGCAGTTGGTTAAGGTGTTGGACTAGAAACTAGGAAATTGTGAGTTTTAGTCTTCAGGGATGTAAGCTGGCTGGGGGGCATTGGGCTAGTCACACACAGACCAACTCTCAAAAACAGGGAGGTGGTTATTGGAAAACATGTACACTGCCTTGCGTGGTACAAAATAAAGGTGGGGTGTATCTCTAATAAATGATTGGCAATGAAGATGATGCTTAGCTGCACAGTACGTTGATTTTCCATGTTTATTCTTTAATGAAGAAAAAGCTTTGAAAATAAAATAGAAAATAGGTGAGGCTTATAGGGAGTTTAGAGAGTCCCAAGAGACTCCCAAGTGGGGGTGTTTGGTGCCCAGGAATGCTTTTTAAGGGCCCCAGTAATTTAATCTGATTTATAATCTACCTTCTGCCAAAGCATCTTCTCCATTTACTGATACATGGGGGAGAGTCTTGTGAGGCGAAGCTATTTTTCCCCAATCTCTAATTTTCAGTCAACACGGAGCAGTCCTGGGTTCAGCTACTCTCTGTTAAAAGACTTGAATAAATGAGCAGAGCATCTGAGCTCAAG